CACGATAAAACAATTACGCCTTGGAATACCTGTGTGCGATGCATGAATGCGATGCGTTGCAATTATTCATGTGAGTGATCCATTGGCATCCGATCTGAGAAATATAGCGTAAGTGGTGGGCTTGGTGGCACAAAGTCCTTATTAAGGATTTTAATTCTAACTGGCAAACTTTTTGAACACTGTGGCCTTTTACCATCTTAGGCGTCCCACAACTTACCCTAGGTATTAGTGGACGAAATCAAATGTCTTGTCAAAACATTATTACCAGCTGATCAGGCAATATCGCCAAAGAACTTGTTATCAAGCCATTATTTTTTGTTGTCGAACTCAGAAACCAATGATTAGTTCATTTCATTTAATCAGAAACAAAATCATAACCCTCCTTTTGCTTTGCCGTAGTCGGGTAAAAATAGGAGAAGCTCAAAACTGTCACAAAAAACAGCCTTTTTCCCGCGTGGTGGAAATGCTGAGATGATCTTGAAAAAAATTATAAGAAAATGCAGAGAACTGGGACTGGTCATTGACTATTCCGACACCTTTGTAGCCAGGATCTCCTTAACTAATTAAAAACTCAAACATCAATGCTGAGATGATCTTGTAAAAAAAAATATAAGAAAATGCAGAGAACTGGGACTGGCCATTGACTATTCCGACCTTTGTAGCCAGGATCCAGGATCTCCTTAACTAATTAAAAACTCAAACATCAAACTATGTATTTTTGTTTTTCCACAGCCTCTCTCTCTCTTTAGCCAGGGTCTTCTTGACCATTAAAAACTCAACTAACAAACCTCATTAGTGACTGGTCAGTAACATTTGTTTCTTTGTCCACAGAGGGTGGCGGGTATCGAGAGAGCGCGCGCGGCGCGGGGCGAGGGCGCGCGCGGCAGGTGACCGGCGGTCTGCGCGGCCGATGTGGGCAGCGGGTGGGTGCTGCTCCCGACAGGCAGGTAAGGAACCAACATCATTCAAAGCCAAATTCATCCTTTATTAAAGCCCGGTCGCTGAGCACGTAGAATTTCGCCCAATGACCCCAAGCGAGTGAAAAAGCCAGTGAGTGTTCACTGCGGGCCGCCCGTCGCACAGTCGCGACAGCAATATAATTACACGCGAGCGATATGGATGGGTAGCTTGGGTTCATTGGACGAAATTCTACGTGCTCGGCGATCGGACTATAGTAACTTAAGCTATGCAGACAAGAATAGACCACTCCTTCTCTTCCCGTAATGGTGACTAAGGGGCATTTTTGAGAACACCGTTTAAAACCAACTTGTTTATTAATAATAAGCTGTGCCGTGTACCTAGTTCGGGCAATAGACACACTTCCCGTGGAAAACACAAATCAACGCATATTCTTCATATATTTAGCTATTTTTGACCTACGAATACATGTCCAAAATATACTCTTACACCTCCACCACTACCAAACATTGGCTAGTGCTGTGAAGAGAACTGTAGACTGTCAGCTGTCTTCAATTGGCTTCATTTTTTAATCATTACTCAAAATGTAAAGGTACATAGTGCCTGATGCTTATGAAAATTTAAGTTAGCTGGAACTGCCTCTGAAAAAAGAAGGCTCAGCACGCTGTACTCTATATGTGCCAGTTTTGTGGTTTCCACAACAAAAGAAGTTACAAAACGAACTCCTAAGAAAGTAGTGCCAAATACAATTTGTATTTTCAAGACGTTTTCTCGTGTGGAAAACATTTCGTCTAAATTTCTTCATGCACACATAGGCACACTTTGTCAACAATTTTAACACGTTGCATAATATTTACATTACACTGTCATTGTCTTTATGCCATGTAGTAAATGTTATTTAAAATTTTGTAGCTACTTAAACCTCTTGAGAAGCCCTGGGTTCGATCCCCAGTGTTATTTTTGTTTCTGTTATTGATAATACATTGTTATTGTTACAGATGCGATAGGTAGGTTCGATTGAGCCAAATTTAAGCCAACCATTGTTGTAAAATCGCTTGTGCGCATGAGTGCCGTTAGTGTGACGTCCCACGTTCGCTATTACTCGACTGCGATAGGGATTTAATTAAAAATAAACTGTAATAGCACAGCTTGAAGTTCGGTTTTTAATTTTTTTGCGATTCTCATTGTTCAAAATGTACCTGTAATCTGTGAATCTTGTTTCGTGTTGTCGTTTGATCAAATTCATTGCACAAAAGCACATAATCCCTAGATAGATACTAATAAGTATGGCATCTAATATGCCAGGCGACTAAATCAAAGGCAGAAGCTTTTACATAAGTACCCAACTTTTCTAAAACTTCTGTGAAAACTGAAATGACCGGTGTTTGAAAGTGATAAAGTTCTACAATAAAAGTTATAAGTTGCTACTTTTAGCCCTACACCAAATAAAGCTCCTTGGCCTATTACTAACAGGGCAATGTAACCGACACGTGGCATTGTTAACTAATAACAATTTTGTTGAATAGCACCTCCTTAATACCTAATAATTTTGTCGGTTGCTCGGCCATTATAATTTAAGCCGGTTACATTAAATAGGGCCAGATATGCACGTTACCTTGGTCAAGACTTGAACGGAAGGGTGTGTTGTATGGTAGTTCTAGTTAGCTAGCTGTGTTTCATCATGACTGTTACAATTTATAAATACGGCCTTGAAGCCATTTGCCGCACTTATGTGAATCAATATTCTATTGACAATGTTATTTTAATACCGCGATCGTACATTACGACTGATGTTTAGCTGACAGCAGTCGAATAAATTATGGCCTTAACTATTAATCTTTCACTAGATATTAACAAGTTTTAATTAAATTTTAATTGCAAAAGACTAGAATCAAGGCCTAATGACGAGATTTGCATAATTTTCTCAAATGATTAGAAAATAACGAAAGAAATTAATATAATTGATCAACTGCTTATTCATTAGTGTTAAATGTAACTTGGAAGGCAACTTTCTAACTGGTGACTGGAAATAAATACGGTAGTTAAATGGTATCAAAATGATGCTTGACCGCTCTAGATTGCGCCCCACGATAAAATCTTATCATTGAATTATATCGATTCTGGACGACAAATATATGAGCTTATCGTCTAAAATCGATAAAATGCCCCGGCAAGATTATATCGTGGTGTGCATCTCAGTCTAGCAGTTGTGTTCTGGAATCGCAAGTCCCAATCGCAGTCCAATAGTGCACTTAGGGCGCTCCCAAACGTTAGCTTCTGGATACATGACAGCACCAGCACTATTAATTTCAGAATGGGTGGTATCATGTACCCTACATCGCTGACGTGGGTTGTGATGTGCCACGGTGAGCGAGAGAGCAGAAGCTTCATGCAAGCATCTCGAAACACACGCACGCGAGCATACCTGATACCTGAGGTCTTCAGTACCGAGTATATTTTCTTCTCTCACTAAGCTTTAGGTGCGTACGTTGTGAGATACTTGGATGGATTGCTTTTATTGACACGTCAACTATTATTATGATGCATCAGAGATTAATCAGTCACCCTCAGTTTACCCACTGGAAATTGTATTCATATGGGGACTTTGGCTACAAAAATATGATCTGAATTCCTACGGGCCAGAACCCCTTGGGCCAGCTGGATCCACCCATGAAAAACATCATTCCGTACGACGCTCTTTGGCTTTAGTTCATGTAATACATATAGAGACAATTTTCAATTGACCAGCAACCACAGCTGTGACAACTTAAGCGAAACCGCTTGTCAAAATATTGTCAGTTTGAATTTTTTTCTAATGAAACTTTAAAATTCTGATGCATCACATTATACCACATGTTGAACGTGCTTTCCCTGAATTCTCCGCACACTCGCTTACCGCGGTAATTTTACCATGAGTTTACATTAAACATACTCGCTAGCGAGTGCGTAAAAAATTTAAGTCAATTTTACTTCTTTAAAGTAAAATTGACTTAGATTTTACTTTCAAGAAAGTAGCGCTAGTAGGTAACTGTCATACATTTCATGGAATTTTTTACGCAGTCGCTAGCGAGTACGTTTAACGTAATTCAAAACTAATGGTAAGCACACGGTTGTGCTGTGACAGCTAGCAGGCACTCATGCGTGACGGAGTGACTAACCGTGGCGCGGTGGCAGGCGACGCGGGCGGCGGGCCGGCCGCGCGGGCGCCGGTCAAGACCTTCCAGGCCTACCTGCCGCCGGCCCACCGCACCTACAGCTGCATCCACTGCCGCGCGCATCTGGCCAGCCATGACGAGCTTATATCTAAGGTGAGTGAGTACATTGAAGGTCAATCCCACCTCTCTTCAGGGTTCGTTCTAGGGCGGAGCAACCAGGACAATTTATTTTATTTATTTATTCATGAACAGAACGGTAGTACCAATTACACTATTCAAACAAGACGTAACAAAGATCAGAATAACATTTAAGTACTTAACATAAACAATTTAACTTAACTTAATTTACGAAAAGACACCATGCTGAGTGGATACCTTTTCAGTATCATTGTAATTACCTACTCATTAAATAATGTTAAGTATTGTAAGTGTATTGTCGATGATACTGAATAAAAATTTTTTCTTTCTTTCTTACATAAATCAGATGCGATTATTTTCACAGTAACCCAAACATTCTGCTAGTAACGTACTCCACCCCTCTGCAAATACGTCACATTTTGGGTTTTGGTCCAGGAAACGATTGAGAGCACTTAATGTACGTGGTATAAGGGATTTCGATCTTGAAACCAATGCCAGGGTGGCGAAATTGAGGGCGCCACACCGGGCGGCTGCGCTTAGGAAAGGATCTTTCTTAGAGTAAATTACCCTTCCCACCTCTTCCTCACATTACTGCAACTCCTGTATAACCATGATCTACCTACAGCTTGTCCTCCAATGCAACCCAAATAGTGAAGGTTGAATAGTATACGGGGCTATCACATCCCACCATTGCAAATCCTGTATAGCCACAATCTACAGCTTGGCCTCCAATGAAACCCAACCAGTGAATGTTGAATAGTCTATGGGGCTATCAAATCCCATTGCAACTACATACAGTATACAGGATACAGGATCTACGGCTTGGCCGCCAATGAGACCCAACCAGTAAAGGTTGAATGGTCCCGGGAGATAGCTGTCTGAGAACCCGCCATGATATCCTTACTCAAAAGAAGATTTTGACCTGTAACACAAACTTGACCTTCACTGGTTGGTTTTTATTGGCGGTCAAGCTGTAGATCCTGGCTACACAGGAGTTGAAGCGGTGGGAACGAGAGGTGGGAATAGTCCCGTAAGATTTTTACCTCTACTGAACTGTAGTTCTCGTACTCCGGTGCACCGGTTTTTGGGGTTCCCGAATACCAATACCAAACCACCCCAAATCTATGAACTAAAATTACAACTTTCAAATCAACTTAAAATCGAATCCAATAAGTTCATACATATTGTATTTATGGCAAATGTCTTCACTAGGTTTACCCCATTTAAAACGTTAACCAAGTTTATGCAAATATGTTTTGGAAGAAAAGTGAATTGTATTTACATTATGTAAACCCAGATCTATCTAGTTGGCTCTGCTGCTTTAAAATCGCATCAAATTGTAGTGTTTTAAATTTCAAAGTGTCTGCATAATTTTCTTTTTCTACTAAGACTAGACAACCGTACCAATAAACCTGCTTTGCAAATATAAATTCAAATCAGCTTTTGCAAAGTTTAAAAAGTAGTCACGGTAGTAACATGAAATCATACTTATTTTTATTTTTCATAGGGAGTTTGGGGGTTACTAATGATCCTAAACTATGTAATTAAGCTTGTAATGAGCATACCCGCGTGTATTTTCACAATAGCTCAATAGAAATGAGCTTACTTAATTCCTCGGTAATTATTCACAATAAAATATGTAGAGCCTAAAAATCGAGGCAATATTGTCACGATTTAATAAAATTACTCACTTGTATCAGATTGATAAAGGTTCGGCCAAACCACAACGCGATCAGCCAACGTGCAGCGATGGCGGCCAGCCGGCTGATCGCGTGTGATCGCGTTGGTTTGGCCGAACCTTAAAAGTTTCCTTCCTAGTATTAGGTAATTTCGCCAAAATGTTAATGAATAAGTTTGCATACCTTATCAATGCATTTAAAGTAAGTAGATTTAGCCCGGAAAACTTTTAATAAGACTTCACCTTTTATTATATTTAATTTAAACGCCGTAGCTTTAACAAGTGCGTGTGCCCATGATGCAATTATTTTGTTTTGAAACACATAATATTCCATAGTTGTAATATATTTTTTGTTGTTTTCCAGTCGTTCCAAGGCAGCCAGGGGCGCGCATATCTCTTCAATTCAGTGTAAGTATACTTTTTGTAGCTAGTTTAATACATAATATTTTGTATCCAGTTTTAAGACAATATCTAATGGCCAAATGGCCTGAGCAATCCTCATCAATTTCCAGCAGATAAAGTGCAGGTCAAGAAGAATAGCATTGCTGATCAGTGCTTGTTTTTTGTTCTGTTTTTTTACACTCATGCTTCACCCACACCAACACGTGCAGATCGCCATTGCCGGCGCGATCATAGGGAAATGACAGATT